AGCTGACGATCAGGCCGGAGGAGCTGGTGCCGCAGCTGCCGGCGCCGCGCGACCTGCAGCCCTTCCCCACCGGCGAGGTGCTGCAGTTCCGCGGCCACGCCGGCCTCGTGCGCTCCGCAGACTTCGACCCCGCCGGCCAGTACGTCGTGTCCGGCGGCGACGACGGCACCGTCAGGAGTAAGGAACGGGATGACAAGCGAACCGACTTGTTTCACACTATTCTACATGTCTCTGCCAAATTTCTATAAACATGTTGAACCGCTTCTAGGCTTCGTTTTACACTCGATCCGAATTTCGCGAAATATACGAAGTGAGAAATTGTGGTTTTTATAAGATCAGTAAGAGGTTGCGCGATGTGTGCGCAGTTTGGGAGGCGAGCTCGGGGCGCTGCCTGCGCACCGTGGAGCTGGGCGAGCCGGTGCGGCTGGTGGAGTGGACGCCGGTGGGCGGGCTGACGCTGGTGGGCGCGGCGGCGGGCCGGCGTCTGCTGCTGCTCAATCCGGGCGGGCACGTGGGCGCACACCGCGCCGCCCAGCGCACCGACCTGCTGCTGGCCGAGCCGCCGCCCGCGCACGACGTCCGCAGTGAGTGTCGCGTCGCGTCGCCTCTCACCTCGCGCGTCTCGTGCCTCGTGTCTCGTGTCTCACGTGTGTGTCTGTGCGCAGTGGACGAGCGCACGGCGGGCTGCGTGCAGTGGGAGGAGGTGGACGCGGCGCAGTGGGCGCGCGGCGTGCGGGTCGCCGTGGCGCACTTCAAGCCGGTGCAGCACGTGAGTAGCGCCGCCCACACCTACACCTACACCTACACCCCCCGGCCAGTTAGGCAGTACTATAAGTGGGCGTGATGGCAGTTCTCGTGGCACGCGCGCGGCGACTACGTGGTGGCGACGCTGGAGGAGGGCGCGTCGCGCGGGGTGGTGGTGCACCAGCTGTCGCGCCGCCGCAGCCAGCTGCCCTTCCGCCGCAACGCCGGCCGCCTGCAGTGCGCCGCCTTCCATCCGCACCGTCCGCTGCTCTTCGTGGTGGTGAGTGCCCCCGCCGCGTCACGTGTGGCGGTGACGTGTGTCACGTGTCACGTGTCTCGTGTGACGTGTGTCGTGTGTCATGTGCGCAGACGCAGCGCGCCGTGCGGGTGTACGACCTGGTGAAGCAGGAGCTGGTGCGCAAGCTGTTGGCGGGCGCGCAGTGGCTGAGCGCGCTGGCGCTGCACCCGGCCGGGGACAACCTGCTGCTCGCCTCCTACGACCGGAAGTGCATCTGGTCAGTCGCTCGCTCCATCTCCTCTGCGTACGATCCATTCGGCATGTCGGCATGTCGGCATGTCGGCTTGTCGGCTTGTCGGCTTCTTTGTCGAATAACGTAACATGTACACGAAATATAAAAATTAGATTGTGATACAGAAGTGTATCTGTGCGGATGTATTATTCCGGTACGAGCATATCGGTACATTGTAAGGTAATGAGGTGCGCAGGTTCGACCTGGAGCTGTCGTCGCGGCCCTACCAGACGCTGCGGCTGCACGCCGGCGCCGTGCGCTCCGTCGCCTTCCACCGCCGCTACCCGCTCTTCGCCTCCGCCGGCGACGACACCAACATCGTCGTCTGCCACGGCTGCGTCTACAAGTGAGTGCCCCCCTCTGTGTCCGCCCGTCCGCCCGTCTGCGTATCTGCTCGCTGCGAATCTACAGCGCGGTTCGTGTTCGCAGCGACCTGCTGCAGAACCCGCTGCTAGTGCCGCTGAAGCAGTTGCGCGCGCCGCCGCCGCGCGACCAGCTCAGCGTGCTGCAGGTGCGCTGGCACCCCGCGCAGCCCTGGCTGCTGGCCGCCTGCGCAGACGGCACGCTGCGTCTCTACGCCTAGCGCCCAAACCTCCTCGCTTTACAACATGTGTAAATAAACAAACTCTGAACATGACTGCTGTTTCATTTTATCCGCGGCCATCTGTGAAGTCGTATTCTCTCAAATATTTTTTACTGATCGATGTCGATGTGTTATCTTACTTCTTCTAGTGTACATGATTATTCAAGTACATGAATAAAGACCCAAATTATATCATTTATTTGATGGTCTATAGTTGTTTAACCAATAAGTACTAGATTAACTTCAATACAACATTTATTATATACTTTACAGGCTAATAACATTAGGCGAGGTCGCGGACGGAAGCGCAAGCGTGCCCGTGGCCTCGCCATGATGCGTAGGAGGAACAGAGGGGTTTAGTGGTTATGCTTCCCATCCGGAAGAGAATGCCACATAACTACTGCGTCCCCCCCGGGGCGCGGAGTATGCATAAAGCATTCCCCTCTGAAAAAAAAAAAAAAAAGGCTAATAACATTACTTATATTTCCCTAGCCGTACCATTCGCTATGAGTGATTCACTCGTTTCTGTGGCTCGATTAGTTTCTTGTTCGTGCAGTGTTCCCAATTTATTAGAAGATTGCCGTGATCTACGGCTTGTAGGCCATCAATTTCGTCTAATCTAAATCTTCGGCCTACGTCTACTGACTTATTCTACGACTTTGAAAATCAACAGTAATTAATTCATTTTTTTTTTGAAATTCTCTATTAATATGTTAGGACTGTGAATAAGATTCCAAAAAAGTTTTTATAAAGTAAACAGGGACAATTTAAATTAAAACAGCGAATTTGTCCTACATTTAGCGAATGGTGAAAAATATATATTTTTTAAATAGTGCCACTGACCTGTATAAATGGACTGGCTATAAGACGAAGTATATTGCGCCCGTTTGATTGGCATTAAAGGAAGCGGTGGTGTAAACTCGAACTAATAATATATAAGTAAAATTAATTGTCATGTAACATCAACAGCCGGGTTTAAACGGGAACAAAGAGTAAGCTTTCACTTTCAAGTATTCGCCCAATCTCCTATCTATGGAGTCACGTGTCTACATACCCATGTTTTCTTCCCACTGACGTCCATATATGGACAGGCCACAAACCGTGATATTCTGTGCCTATTTGATCTCCGCCATTTTAGCGCTAACGTTTGCGGTTGATAGCTGTGGTGAGAATACCTACGAAAACGGTAAGGAACTTCGACAGGCGCATTTAATTCGGAACGATGTAAAAGCTGTACTTTCATGTAATGACCTATCCATTTATAGAGATCAGTGCCTTTTCCAGACTTTTTTACCGGTCGGGAAAAAAATCATTGGCAACACTGCGTCGTATTCGTGCAGTTTCGTGCAACAAGCCAACAAAACAAGGTTTATGATTCGTTGCTTTGGATCTGTTTCAGTTCGGTTGTTTTGCGAGTAGCTTTATTGTGTTTGCCGTGCTATGATGCATTTTTCTTCGTTTAATTAATAAATCGGTAAAGATTCAGAAAGTTATATTGCATTTCAGTGTTTGTTGTGGTGTTGAATAAATTTCCTTTCAATCTTGAAATGCCTATACTTCTTTGTTCTTGTGAAAAGTGAATAATCACATTGTTTTTTTTTACGAAACAGTTTATGGTCTATATTTTTGTTTGCGAATATTGCAGTGCTCATTAAAAAAAGGGATTACTTTGAAAAGTGTCGAAGTACAAAAGTGAATCAAAAATACTTTTATTCATCAAGTGAAGCAGACTCGAGCGGTTAATTTAAATGCTAAGGGTGCGTGAAGCACGTATTATAAAGTTTGATTGGTGCACGCGGTGACGCGGTGACGGGGTGAAGGGGCGAAGGCGCGAGGGTGTGTCGAGCCCGCGAGGGCGTCGGGCGGCGGCATGTCGGGCGCGACGACGCCGACGGCGGCGGAGTGCGCGACGCTAGACGAGCGCGACCTGGAGCCCCGCACGCCCATGAAGCGGCTTGGCTCTACCAGGAAACTCGCGGCGTTCAGCAGTAAGTTTTAGTCGTGACAATCTTGTAAGGCAATATTAGATTGTTTACGTGTTAAACATCTTTGAATATTTTGTACGGTGCAGATTCTTTATTTAGACATGCATGCGTTCTATTACAATATCCTAGCTGTTTCTCGCGACTCCTTCCACACGGAGTAAAAAATATCTAGTAGTAAATATAGCCTAATCGATGTCGCCCGAGAGTCTGTTCGCGCATATTTACAAATAAATATCCTAATTAGTAACTTCTAAATGTTCGTGGCTATGTTCTACATCAATGCATAATTTCAACAAGATCCAGACAGTACAGACATCTATCCATCCAAAAGATTTGCAAAAGATGCCTGTTTGTGCCAGTGCAAATAGTTGATGCAATGTGCCTGTGCCGTAGGACAACAGTGCTCAAAATCAGTGCTGGGCATACAAATGGCATAATGTGGCTCGGCATGAACTGTTTTTGGGTTTACTTACATTTAATGTTTAAATTATGCCAGTTGGGCATACAACTATGCTGATTTTGAGCACTATTTTCCTACTGTACTGGCATCATGTAAACCAGGCATTACTCAGTGGTATATTAGGTTTCCAATAGCAAAACAATTTTCAAAACTGTTCCAGTAGTTTTGAGTTTACGCATTACATACAAAATTACAAATATATGTTTAGTTAGAATATGTGTATGTTACTATAAAGACTCTTCTTATGTTTATTTTATTTTTCCTTAGTTTTTAAACATGTTTTATATATATATACTAGCCCTGACATTTTAAGATTGCAAATAATGTTTTAGTTGTTTGTACTTTAAATCTTTGTCACTGCATTATCCCAAATTTGGGAACAATTTTCACTGGTATGAATTTTTCCTTACGCACACATAGACATTTAAACAATTGTCTCTTGATGAGACATCAAACATGTATGAAATAAATAATATGAATGTTTGGATAGATAGGTGTTTGTTTGAAGGTATCTCCAAAAGGGCTGCATGGATATTGCTGAAAATGGCCTGGAAGAAGGCTGACATAAGCCGCTAATTATTATTATTTTTATTCTGCACAGACGGAGGGGTGGCCAACTGCTAATATACAATATAAACAGAAGATATTTATGAATTTAATGAATAAACTTGTTAACCTTCCCCTTACAAAATTATGTCATTACTGAATAATTTAGGCTATATCTATTAGTAACACTAGCTGTCGCCCACAAGTCCATCCGCACGGGGTTAAAAATGTGTTCCAAACTGCATTAAACATCTGTATCAAATTTCATTGAAATCCATGCAATCATTATCCATCAAAAACCAAACCACATCCATCCAAACCTTTGCATTTATAAGATTAGTAAAAAGTAAAATTGTTATTTTTATGTGGACAAAGACGAGGGTAAAAGATAGACACAAATAAGTGTGCTTATTATCTATTTTATTTGAAACAGTACATGATTTGTTCACTTGAAAGTTCGCAATATTATTGTTTACGGATGTGTCTACATTGACAGAGAGTTTTTACACTTTACAAAAGTTACACTTTAACCCAAAACATTGTTCGCTATTGTCATTTACTATTGCAAAGTGTACATAAAGTTGGCATGATACATACTCTTACTCATCATCAACCTGCCCTTATCCCTATTGAGGGTCGGCACAGTATGTACTACTCCTCCATACATCTCTATCAGCCCTCATATTCGAGTCTACCCCTTCTTACGCATATCCTCTTTCACACAGTCATTCCATACTTTTTTTGGTCTTCCCCTACCCTTGTAGCCATCCACATTCAATCTCATTACTTTTTTGCTTATATCATCATCATTCCTTCTCATAACATGTCCAAACCATGCTAATCTTTTACTCCTCAATTTCTCGATCACTGGCGCTACTTCCAAACTTCCTCTAATATACACATTTTTAACTTTATCCTTCTTTGTCACACCACACATCCATCTTAGCATACGCATTTCAGCTACATGCAATCTTCTTTCATCAGAAACTATTAACACACATATTGATACATAATCTTACTATTTGTTACAATATATAATACTTTTAGTTCTAAAACAGAAACTACCGTGTAAGTAAACTTTATTTCCGTCTATTATATTTATTAAACCTCTGAAGGAGCGATATCGGCTCTGTCCGCTTTCCGCGTTTAGTGTCCCAACCTTCGTTTGTAAAGTGCAGGATCGAGGTCAAGTAAGCAGCAGCAAACATGCGGCCAAGTGTCCATACTCCAGTAACCGAGTGGACCGAACCATTCAAGTCTGGAAACTGAAGCGACGACAGCGTTTGCGACATATCTCGCAGCGCTCAGCAGCACGTTGCTCTTAAAAAAGTTCAAAAATTGTTAATGCATCAGTTCACTTCCTGAGAAGATTTCGAGGGCCTCGAGTGCACGCCCGCGCTCACCCCCCGCCCCCGCCTGCCAGCTTGTTACGTTGTATGTACGTTACAGAGTTCGTTGACATGCGACATGTTGATAATAATTTATTCGTTATAGATAAAATTCTATGTTGTCTAATGTTTTACTCGGCGGCGTAACGATAAGGGTGTTTTACGAGACTACGGCTTTTGAGTGTATATGAACAAAACATTATGATGGATCTCTATTAACGTCGTAATAGTTTACCGAAAGTCCCTCGGCTTGCTTTGGTAGTACATTGTTATATAGTGTCGCAGGGCCTCACCGGCAAACCGGCTGACCGACTGCCGAAACCCGTGACCGACGCACGACAGTTTCATCACTAATTTAGAGACACCCCCTTTGTTTTCCTTAATTTTATAAGTAAATTATTGAGTAATACAGTCGGAAACAAATGATATTCGGGCATTGTGGACTTGTTAAACGGCCATGCAACGTTGTAAAATGCAGGCAACAGTTCCAAAATGATATCTACTAATATTATAAATGCAAAAGAAACTGCTAAAAAAAATGCTGTCTGTCTGTCCTCCTTCTTTCACGCAAAAACTACTGAAACGATTTAAATGTAATCTGGTACAACACAGATAGTCGACAGCCTGGGAAAGAACATAGGCTACTTTTTAACGCGAAAAAGGGGTTGGAAATTTGATTTGAAGTATGGTCATTTTTACAGACAGAAGCTCGAAACTTATTTTTTATGCTTTTAATTTGATATAAATAAATATGACATTTAATGTTTGTAAAAATTTTAGTCTCAAGGGTGCAAAACAACTTTAGGGGATGAAAGTTTGTTTTGTAATAGAATGTGTGAGGTTTATGTGACTGTTTTGTGAGTTTAATATGTTTTGTTGTTATGTATTATAAGTGTAGGTGAAATAAGTAACCTAAATAATTAAAATGCTACCCAAAGATAGAATTTCCCGCGGACGAAGTCGTGGACACAGCTGGTATGTTTATACATACATAAATATATACAACATCAAACTATTAACATTTGAGGTAAGACGTTGTAGGTTGGCGTCAGGTATGAGTATGAGGTTCTCTTGGTCAGCGGCGGGCTGAAGCCTGGAGTAGTGTGCGGTGCGCGGTGCGTGGCGCCGTGGCGCGTGAGTCAGCGCCGCTAAATATAACCAGATGTACGGCGTGCGCGGCGCGTTGCCGGCGATGTCCGTCGCCCGCTTTGTACATCAAGACACCTCTCCGCCTCACAATGAGTTATTGTCGACGCTATTGACGCATTCGAACGCTCGCTGCGCCGACTTGAAGCACGATTACGAGTCGTTGCGAATTCCACTTTGCGAGTATGTATATATTATCCGTTGCCCGTTGACTTGACAATTCATCGATCGCTAGCAACCTGCAAACGGTTATACTTCTGCGTGGTGCACTGTACTGTATGTTACTCAAACAACGTATGATTTGTTACCCAAATACAGGAAATCGTAGAACGGTGTCATCGGTCGGCCATTTTGTGGAGGCTGTCGACATCTGTTACACAAACGGGGCGACTTGAACACACGGAGAACAGGCGTGAAGCGGAAGTAAATCCGCATATTTTCAGAAGTGTGCTTACTGGAGGCCTAATATTATTTCACTTTGCCTTCCCACCCTGTTCTTGGATTTGGTGAAGGATGCTATGAAAGGGAAAATTTCCCCTTTTTGTCTCCTCTTCTGGTTTAGTCATGAGTAATATTTGAGAAGCAGATCATTTATGATTTGCGTTTGGAGCTGCGAGTTTTTTTTTTACAAAATATTGGCAGATTTTTGTCTATTTATTTATTTTTCTTGGACCATTCCAACTAAGCTCTAGGCTGGACATAGTTTATGACAATAGTCGAATAGTGAGATTCGATCGATTCTACTACGTGATCTGAAATTACCATTAGGCTTTTGACTGAAAGCTGATTGACGCACGTCGTCTACCTCTGTTGATTAAAGGTAGGCAACGCAACGCATCTTCGAATGAATATCGGCAGCGGACACATCCCTATTTTAGCAAACTCGAGTGGCTGCTTACTCGTTTGCTACCGTATATGCTATAAAAATTGATAAAACGAAAACTATAATATAATTACAATTATAAGCAGATAAATTGTCTTGTATTGATCTTCGTAGGAATGCACTAAGTTGGGTAGTGAAGTACTTGATAAATAATGTTTTAAATATCAAAAACCAAGAATTGATCGCTTCGCTACGAGGCTAAGAGAAAGGCACTATTTGTGCCTATAGTCATTAGTGTTCGTATCGCATCCCCTGGCGGCGCAGCGCGGCCGGGGCGCAGGACGTGCGCGCGGCGGGCGGGGGGTGGGGGGCAGGGTGCACGGATGTGGGCACGGAGGCTGCGGCGCAGTCGTGCGGCGGCCGGCGAGGACGAGCGGCATGTTCCAGTGCATCGTGACTCCGCGCCCCGACTGGCCCGCCTCCGACCGACACGATGCTTTTGCCGGTACATATATTATAAACTTACATTCTGATCCCCCTCCGCCCCCTCCACCGACCCGCGCCGTCGGCAGCGGCCGCGCGCTATATTTAGACGGCGCGTTGCCGCCACCGCGCTGCCTCGCCCCCGTCACCGCGTTGCCGCGCCGGCAGTGGCGGCTCTCGAGTCCACGGTCAGCTGTGCAGCTGACGTCCGCCCCGCCGCGGGGCGCCGGCCACGAACGTCACGTGTGTTTACCGAAGTTCTACGTATTCGTTCTTTTTGGTAGCCAAGGTGTGCAGGGGCAACATAACATAAACGATAATAAACACCCTTATATATAGCTGTAATGAAAATGTTGTTTAAATAATTCCGAAAATGTTGAAGTATAAATACTACTACGAAACACTCAAGAAAAGCGGTATTAAGAGCAACTAACACCGAGATGCAAGTATGCGTGGATGTATGAATGTAGAAGAAGCGAGAGAGGTGTGCCAGCGCCGCGCCAAATCGGGGTCCGTGGTCTTCTTCTACCCCTCTAAGCTATGGGCGTGATAATCAAGTTGTTGTTCAATTATCGGCAAATGCCGGTCAGCGCACACTTGCGGCAGTAGCATTATTTTAATCTATGCTATCTTTATATACTAATATTATAAAATGCTTAATCAACTTTAGCTATAATAAAATATAGCATGGGATAGTGTAGCTTCCCAACTGGGAAATAATTTTTCAAATAAGTTCATTATTTACGAAGCCTAATCAATGCAAACACACAATCAAATCTTTATTCTCTATTATATTAGTATAGAATAATTCACATCATAAATAACTTCGTTGTATAATTGTTTTTTCTAACACAAAATATTCGAAAAATATTGTAAATTCTCTATATGATGGTGAAAACCGTTGTTTTAAATCAATTTCATGGCTTAGCAGATGAAATAGCAAAACACATATATATTTATGGAAATATTTTTGTATCCTCTGTCTAATTGTAAATGATGTCGGTGTCGAGTTGTGTCGGCGTCGGCGCACGTCACGCAATGACCTGCGCCGAACTCAACTGCTCGCCGACGTCGCCGACAATAGAAAGATTATGTTTTTCCGTTGTTTAGTTTTGAAGCTCGATTATCTCGGCCACTTTAGCAATCGGGGCCGCTCAGTTCGCATCCCGGTATCCGGGAGCTGCTAGTTGATAGCCCTCAGCCGTCTCCACTTCAAACCTCCGTTGTTTACAATCTTATGTCTGGTTTACATTATGCCAGTACGGTAGGATAGTAGCGCTTGCCTGGCATGGACTGCTTTGGCGACAGTGTCTACATAATGCCAGTCCAGTTAAAGCTGTCGAATAGTCTAGAGATATTGTAGCAATTAAAAAAAAAGTAGTTGAAATCACTATATAAACATACACTAAATTTTTACAAGTTATTGACGAAGTTAATATCAAGGTTAAAAAATATTTTAAATAGTTAGTGAATACTGTTGTTCAGGGTAGCCTGCTATGCTACCAGCTGCCATGTCCAGGTCCTGTTATAAAATTGCGATCGTACATTTCAAAGTGGAAGCAATAAACGCAGTAAATGTCTAGTAATAATATATAGAATATTTTTTTCCAGCTTGCAGAAGATATGTACGTTTGTTTCCCAGTTCTATTCATAGTAAATCATTACTAAAACAAATCATTCAATTTTATTTATAATCATTACAGAGTACGTTTTTATTCAAAAATATAGTGTGCGTGAAACAAACAACGCCGCGGTCGCTGGCGCCTTTTTTTCTCCCGCATCGCAGTCCAGATAAAAAATTCTTAAAATAAGTAATGTGGTTCCTGTTTAATTGTCCTCTAAGCCCTGGATTGGCATAGCATATTATGCCACTGTGATGGAATGGCCGAAGTGGCCTTAACAGTAGAACTTCATGCTCCGGACTAATTTGATATGATTAAATCCGCCTATGTACTTTTAGACATTATTAATTACAATACTTTAGCGCGAACGACGTGCTTTCGTTACAAAGTCTAGTATCAAAATTAATGTATGGCGACATAAACGTCGACTTTTTAGTAAGGCTAGTGTTCAGTCAATACACTAACTCATTTCCGGATTTTCTTCCTAAGAGTAGATACATACATTTACCTATATTGATTGAGATTTGATAAATCCTCTAACCGTGTTCCCGTCCCCTCGGTCATTGTGACAGTGGCATGGGCAGTGTATGGTTGGAGGTGTCAGGCGTATCGTACACTGGTTCTGAGCGCGGCGTGCGTTGCAGACATTCGCGCCCAGCTGTCGGAGCAGGCGCGCGTGCTGGAGGCGCGTGCCGAGGCGGCGGCAGGCGTCGCGGCCGAGCTGGCCGACCACTGCCGGCGCCGCGCCGATCTCGAGCTCGACTACTCGCGCGCGCTCGACAAGCTGGCGCGCGCCGCTTCGCAGCGCCATAAGGACCACAAGCACAAGTAAACCTAAACATTCTTACGCCTCCCATATCTCAGCCGCAGTCCGCTGCGTCCTGCTGCACACGAGTTACAAAGTATAATCTGAGTTATTACTGATGCGAATCATAAACTGACATAGATTTACGGTCCAAAATGGTCTCGTCGAGATATAAAGTAAACACAACCAACCTATGTGGTGTGTTCGTATGCGCTGGCAGACGCGAGCAGTGGCCGCTGACGGGAGCGTTCACGTGCTGGCAGGCGGCACTGGAGCAGACGCGCGCGCTAGCGCGGGACCACGCTGCGCTGGGCGAGCTGTATGGCGGGCCGCTGGCCGCGCGGCTGCAGCGCGCCGCCGAAGACGTGGCACGATTGCAGCGCCGCGGGCGTGAACTACTCGCCGAGCGCCAGGAGGAGCTGGGCGCCGCGCTGGCCGAGGCGGCCGCGGCTGGCAAGACGCACGCCGGCGCCGCGGCCGCCTGGCGCGCCGCCGCTCTCAAGTTGCGTGCCGCGCACCTCCAGCGCCGCGCCGCACCCGCGCCGCCCGACGCGCCCCGCACACGCAAGCTCAAGGCCCTCGATAAAGAACTTCAAAAGGTATCATTATATGTCCGCCATAAACTGTTATCTTTACTGGTCACATTTGTGATCTAGACAATAATCGTAAACTATCATATGATGACCACGGATGAGATCATTTTCGATTTGAGATCGTCGTTTGACACTTAATTTCACATAGTCACCCCTTAGAAACCTTAAAGTTATATTATCATTGTAATGTATTATAGTAATTATAAGGAATATACATACAATAACAAACAACAATTATTGTACGGGAGCGAATTCCATTCACAATTTGTTTTGGCTTTAAAAAAATCAGTAAATGAAAGAAGTGCTGATACATATTGGTATCGGTTGATTTGCAGCGGCGCGCGCGGCACAGCGCGGCGCGGGCGGCGGCTCTGCGCGCGCGCGCCGACTACGTGCTCAGTCTGGAGGCCGCCAACGCCACGCTGCAGCGCTACTACCTGGACGACGTCGCCGACGTCATGCTCGTCAGTTCTATTTCCCTTTACACTGATACGATTCCACGGAGAGGGGATCTGGTATAAATCGCCCTCGAAAGATACGTTTTGCGGGATGTAATTTAAGAGGGCGTTCGTGTATATTTCGCAGTGCACGGAGGTGGGGTACGAGGCGGTGGTGGGACGCGCCGTGCGGACGGCCGGCGCCGCGGAGAACGCGCGCGCGCGCTCGCTGGGCGCGGCGGCGGGCGCTTTGCTGGCGGCCGCCGACTCGCTGGACGCGCTGGCCGCTCGCCGCCGCCTGCTGGAGGCGCACCGGACCGCCTTCGCGCCGCCCGCGCCTCTTGCGCCGCGCCCCCCGCCGCCCGCCGACCTGGAGCGCGACATGCGCGCGCTGCTGCCCGACGAGGAGGAGACGGACGAGGCCGCGGAGGAGGTGACGCGGGAGCTGCACGCGCGCCTCGCGCAGCTCGAGGCCGCCGCCCGCACGCTGCGCGCCGAGTGCCGCGAGCACGCCAAGACGCTGGACGCGGCCGAGGCGGAGCTGGTGCGCATGATGGAGGGCAGCGCGGCGCAGTGGGAGGTGGGCTCGCTGCTGGCGCCCGCCGCGACCGCGCCCACGCCGCCCGCCGCGGCCGCCGCGCCCACCGCATCCGCCGCGCCCACCGCGCCCACCGTTGCGGCGTCCGCCGAGGACGACGCGCCGCGCCGCGCACAAGAAGACTACTACCTCGCAGTGAGCCTCGACCATTATAATAGCTTCATTCAAATAAGGAATATTATAAAGAAAAAAAAAAGATTTTCCGTGACTTGAATGTTCTGTTAAACCACAAAATCGGTTAAAATACAGTTTTCACCATCGTTTAGGTCATTTATTCGGAATGGTTTGTGTATATATTTCATTACAACTTACTATTGTTTCACATAGAAGTGGCATCCACCCCCCCCACCCACCACCCCCCCACCCCTCTGTCATCTGCAACGAGTTAAAAGATTGTACATGCCTTGTCTACTTTTAATGGACAAAGGAGACCGCTGTATAAGTGTGTATATGTATTAAGTAACATTAAATTTAGCAAAAAGCCTTATCAGCTTGTTACAAGGTTTATATGTCGAGGTGATGATCATTTAGTCGAGTTTCTGGAGCGTACTTTAATATTTGGTGGAATTTGCGTGTGGCAGAAGTTCCGCGCGTACGTGTGCAGCGCGGGGCGGCTCGCGCGCCTCGAGGGGAAGGCGGCGGCGATGCGCGCGCGCCTACTGCCCGCCGCGCCCACCGCGCCCACCGCACCCGCCGCGCCCCCCTCGCC